ATTACTGTTGGGTCTGTTGCCCATTACTGCTGTTCTGTCCTGTCCACTGTTTCATCTGTGACTATAAAGCATCCCTGAGTGGTTGTTTGGTCATTCTGACTCTGTCTGACTGTGCTGTTCTGTTCTGATCTGTCATATACCAGTTTGAGTCTCTTATAGACATTGTTCTGACTCTGTTTTGCTGTTTCCTGTCTCTGCTTGACTGTTTTCAAACCTACCTAAACCTATATAACCTCACACCCCATTCTAGACTATGTTCTAAGTCTATTATTTGGTGTATCTTACATTCAATCAGATTTCTCTGTGCAGAACCTTCAACAACACCAGAGCCCCACTTGCATATAGTCTCTTTTGAGTTAGTTTTGTTAATTCAACTTACTCAAAACAACATCATTCATCGGATTGCTGTACATATTGTGTTTGTCTCTGTTCTGACAATGCAGCCTATTCATCTTGCTTCCCATGTCACATCAATGAATTCCTCTGGCAAAGAGGCTGGTCAAGGAGAAAATGTGGCTCTATATTCCAAAGATGACGATACTGGTCTCCGAGGACCTTAGATTGGCAGCTCACCGCTGTACTTCAGCTATATGGAGGTATAGATGATTGTGAACGCGTGGTTTTGCTTGAAGGTTTGTCTAGGAATTGCTTACTCCGTGTTGTTGCAGACAACGAGCAGTTTGTCAGCGTTCACCGCGGCGATCCACAAGGAAACCATGGATCCACCGTCATTGTATTATAGCTATTGTCAGCCATCATTTAAAATAGATTAGATTAGGGTTATAGATAAAAACACAGCGTAGAGATTGTTTGATACATATTGGGTAGAGTAACGGGTAACCCGAAACAAAAAACAGTAGGTAAAACGAGCGTATCATGATTCTTCCGGCGTGGAAATGCAGGGACTAGCGGCCACCACCTCCGCCTTTATGATCTCCCTCTCAACCTCAACTATAACCATAACCGGATAAGGATGTTCTTTCTTTACCAGCTTTGGGGACGATTTCATCTTCTCTATCTGTTTTCGGACGGACTTGACCAGCTCCGGTACTTCAAATTCTGCCCGGCGGGGAGAGGAGAGAGTAGCACTTTGGTGACGACGATGTTTTGGTGAAAAGGAAAATAGATGAGAACTACGGGTATCACTTGGTGACGTTGGGTTCGAAGAGGTACCATTATCAAATTCGGCTGTGGAAGGCGAAGACAGAGGTGACTCGAAAGAAAAGGTCATGAATGGCGACGAGGGAGCGGTAGAGGGCTGTTCGTCACAATAGTGATAAACACCATATGACAGATCTGAGACTTTCGTGGTGATTTGCATTTCTTGGGGTTGTAAGGATGGTACTATAGCAGCCAACCATTATGAGTCGCGAAATGCAGGGGGCACGGGACTTACAGAAGTTGAGCTAATCGGATCGATCTGCTCGTGGCGCCCGTAAGAATAAGGGGACGAAACACAAGGGAGATACAAAGAATGGAATTAGAGAGAGGCAGTGTCGGGAAAGGAGAGTGTGCGTGTTAAGACACAAGGAGGAGCTTAAGTCGGCGATGTCGCTTTATCAAGGCTCACCGAAGAACCTGAAACGGGAATGTGCAACTTGTCGTTGTACTGACGACTGCCTGACGACGTATCGATCTGTGCCGTGTCTTTAGAGGCGAAACAAAGACGTCGATCGGCAGCAGCAACTACAACCGCTAACGCTTGACTGCGATGACGGATGTTACATGCGCGAAGGGAATGGTTTGGTGATTGTGTAACTGCATCACGAAAGCGATCGCGACTTGCCCTAAAGAGCGAGATGTTCCTCCCATCCCGCAATACAGCTCCTCAGGATCCCTTGTTCTGTCAATACTTCCATTCCAACCATCGGGGTCCGCCACCTCGGTTTGGGCAGTTCATCTAGTACGCATCCCACATCCTCTTGCGTCAACTGGTACAAGCGCGCCTGGCATAATTGAATGGCTTTCTCCGGATCTCTATCCAGCAGAGTGAACAAGGCGGAAGACATTCGGCCATCCGAGTTGATTCGAAGTTCATCTGATGAGTAGAGCACATCTTCTAGATCTTCCGACGGACCAACGGTTCCATTTGAACCTTCTCCCACTGTTCCTCGCTTTTCCTCGGTCTCCCCTAGAACATCTCGTACGTTAAACTCGACATAATCTCTATCATTCTCATCCAGAATGAACCCATATCGCACCATCAACTCCGCGTTTGTGAGTTGGGAGCCGTAAGTGTTGAATATCTCCTTCATTCCAGGAAGGATGCGCGAGGTGGTTGTCATCGTGTAGTACATCTCATCTCCTTCATTTGGGTCTACTTCGGCAGTACGGGTAAAGTCGACACGTTTTTCGTCTTCTTCGTGGTCCTGATCATGTACACACTCTTGCACCGACCCGCACTCGGGACAAACGTCAAATTCGCTTTCAAGCTGAACATCATTATATGTCGCATGATTGAAAGCGTCTGCAACAGGAACCATGGCCAGTCCATGGTAAGCATCAACAACGAAAGCGCGGGAGGATACGAGCGAGTAAGCCCGGTAGAAGGCTTCAATCTTCGCGTCTTGCGTGATAGGGAGCACCACGGTGGAGAAGAACGTGTTGAGGTCATCCTATACAAGGGGGAAAAGTCTGTTCAGTCGCAAAGAAGAAAGAATGAGGGAAGCACGAGAGAGTACAGACCAAGGACACGTTCGAGCCCGAACGAAGCTGCCTTTCAAGCTCAGTCCCTCTAAGCCATGTAAGAGCCATTTGCTTGTCTTTCCCGTCTTCTATTTCTCCCAAAGCGAACGATAGAGACCAGAACAGTGGTAATTCTACCCTATTCCTGGGTAACGATTGTAGGTAAAGATGCCATTGCGATGAAGGACCTTTCATCCTGCAGAAACGGTCACACCAAGTTAATCTTCACATCAGCCTTTAGACGTACTCTTCCAATAACATGGCCAATGTCAGCTCTAGTTGCGACTGAATCCCAATTCCGCACGGAGCCAACGAATACCCACCGTCGAGACCCCTGAGATGGTCGAGGAGTTGGGTAGATTTTACAGATAAGACAGCACTCTTAGGAATAAATGCGACTATCCTACCGTGATGAGCGTGAGCAAATGAGGAAGAGCAAAAAAAAAAAAAACAACTACCTGGCGTGCCCTCTGGGATCCCCTCAATGCCTAACTCAACGTCGTTTCTCAAGAACACTCCAATCGAGTCTGAACTCTCCCCATCTTCCTCTTTATGATATGCGATTTCAAGGCTGTGATGAATTTTGATATTTTGCTGTGAGCAGAAGCGGAGGAGGCTCGTTAGGGAGTGGGTCATGGTGGTTGTGCGTCAAGCTTCCAGGCGCCTCCTAGACCGGACCTTCACCGCTTACCCTTCAAGTTCATTTCTGGCGTTTATCGTCTTACTTCTCCTCATCCATCATCCTTCTCGGACCAAAAGGCTAGGAATATATGGAATTTCCCGTACGTGTCCATGAATACAATACACTTGCTATCTAACTAACTACACAAAACAAACATTGGATGACAGACACGATAAACAGTGCAAGTGTCCTAGAAACCTATCATTACATGAATGCAAGAAACTCAGAGTCACTGACAGTGACGCAAAAAGAGGACAGATCCACAACGGGCGGGTGTCTCGATGGGACCAGTCACTTTCAAATATCGATTCTCCTTATCCACATCCACCTTCCCCTTTCCTTTGTCGTATCGAGGGGACACATTTCCACTGGTGTCGACCTCAAGATCATGGCAGCTGGAGGGTCGCCCTAGTCGGTGTGGAGTGGGAGAGGTGTCACATAGAGGTGGGAGCCGAACTTCTTTTTCAAGTGAGATGCGAGCCAACGACCCTAAATCCTCCGTAGCAATTTGAGTTGCGTCGAGGAAGAATAGTGGCGCGTCCGAGTCGCCATCGGGACAGCGTCTGAGTTGTGGTTGATCTTGAACTTCGTCGGTGGAACGTCCCGAGCTACTTATATCTCCTTCTTCCGACCCGTTGACTAGGGTGAGACCGTCCTCCCATACAGCACTCTCTTCCTCACTACTCCATCGATCCCCCATTCGACCCCCGACAGGTGCCAAATCATCCTCTTCACGTACCGAACTGGTCGTCGGGCCAACCGACCGACTACTCCATCTCTTTCTGTGATGCGAATCTCCTTCCTCTGAGTAACAATCAGAATCAGAATCATCAGCGCAGGGATCTTCCAAATCTCCCCCGACTTTCTCATCATCCGCAAAACAATCCTCCTCAGAGTCAACATCAACCCCCTTACGGAACGCTTCGCCCAATACACGATCCAAAGGCAGTGGACGTGCCTCAGACTCCTTGATCTCAGGGAACGCGTCCATCGCCGTAGTAGGGAGAAAGACGCGTAACCTAGAGTCGGGCGCGTCGTGCTCGTCATCGTAAAAGGTGGCGAAAGGGGGCGAATATATATCCGACGCGTTAAAGCTGTCGTTAACTGGTGTCGGAGGGGGAGCCATGAATCCTTCCATTTCTCCGATGATGGGAATTTGAGGAAGGGCAAGAAGGAGGTCTTGCCATCTTCCCTGCGAACAGAAAATTTGGGGTCGACGCCGTCTTTTAGTTGGAAAGATTTTGAGGACAACGGATGCGGTACGTACCGATGCTTGATGCCGATGGCGGTCCGCCTCTTTTATAAGAAAGCCCTCCGCGATCTTCAATTCTTCGAAGCTGCTTGGAATGGTAGACATTATCGAGAGATGTGAGGGGGAAAAATGAGGAGCCCAAAGTCGTGATGATAGCTATAGTGGAGGTACTTGATCTGATTCATGTTCCCCTCTCTTAAATGTCGCTCTAAACTGCGTAAATGGTTCCTGTCCCATTGTTCGAGGTGGGGGTCGATTTGTTTCGTCCTCTTTTAGGCCATGAACAGAACCGATTGTTTTTATTTTCAGCTATATACAGTATGAGGACAATGACATTCCTGATCCAATTGTCTTGGGATAGTCCGGATTAAAACGAAAAAATGCTCAAGCGGGGAGTCGAACCCCGTTCGCGACCTGATCGTGAAGTGGAACTGCATGGGAAGGTCGCATCATAACCGTTAGACCACTTGAGCTTTCGACTAGTGAGAGCCTTCTCCATCTGAAACTTATTACACCCAATAGATTCATAGTCATTAACGAGTTTGGGCAATAGAACAACCACTAATCATCACTCAATCGCATATACATCTGCAGCTGAGATGCGGTCCCTCACGCCGAGGCTCGCAGTAAGTTGGTAAGGACGACTAAGGATCTTATACAATATTAATGTTACTCCATGATGTCCACAAGTACTGTTCCGACCCTATGAGCGAAGTAAGATTTCCATCGAGAGGCTAGCGACATCAGATTCTCAAAGAGACTCTTAGCAATGCATGCTACTCATAAATTCTACAGGTGCGCAACTTGATGTTTTCAGGCGAACTTTGAGACTCATCGGAATCGTGGTCCGATGTGGCGTGGTAAACCACCGGACTTTCGGGGCCGAATCATCTGGACACATGCTGAGATAAACCCTTTCACGAGGCCGAATTCTTCCTGAGGTCTACCTCGAGGCTCAATCGTAACCTTCATTAACTCCGTCGATAGCTCCTACGGCGATCTTACAACCGAGAAAACCCGCTCCAGCTACTCTTCCAAGTGGCCAGTTTTCCTGTTTCGAGTCAAGTTCCACCATGGGCGTCTTCCTACCTTCCTACTCCGAGAGTTTACAAAGTACAATATATCGTCTCTAAACACGATACTCCCGCCCGAGGCTCTGTTCCCAGGCAAAACCGAAGAAATCCCCCCACCGGACACGGTTTCTTGATAGAGACGCAAAACAAAACAAGGTCAAAAAGCGCCGTGGTTGGAGACATCTCAGCCACCCCGTGAGCCGGAAGCTCAACCGTAATTTTCATCAGCGAACCTTCACTCCATGTTCTCATGTATCCACTCCACATCGATTTCGTCACACCCAGCGAACTTCTTTGACTCCGTAGCTCTTCTAACTCTCCTGTTTCAAGATTCCAACGTTCTGGTGCCATGTTAAACGTCTATAGTGCGTGAACGTCAACGCTTCACCTCATTCCAAACTGAGAATCGTCTTTGTTTAGCAGACTACTAATCATAAATACAATGAAGTTCGAATTACCAACGCTGTTTCCAATAAGGGGATGATCTGAAAGTCGCGTTCTTCAAAAAAGAAGAAGATGGCTGCCTCTAATTCCAAGGAAGCCATTAAGTGGATCCGTCCAATCCAACCAAATATTTGCATCAGGTCCAGGTGAGCTATAAAGCTAGACAATTTCAGTGATCATATGGAAGAATTTAGATTTTGGACGGCTTGGGTATGGGAACACTCGCTGCTTATTGTCCAAATCAATCTGGTCAGACGGCACGGATTCATTCCGTCAGCACTAAAACCTGTGAACGTCCACTCATTACTCAAAAATGTAGCTTCTTTGACGTCGCTATTGTTCTCCAAAACTTTCGCTGGCCGTTCTTCTAAACCTGTTATAGCTTATGGACGTTATCACTTCACTCACGGCTGATCTATGAAGACCCTTGATATGCTCGTAACAACCGCGTGGGGTGAAGATTCTAGAGTGGACTCTTTTCTGCCTCGTGGCTGTTCTGGCGTGCCCTTTACCCTGCCCCTGAAGTAAGTAGCAAAGCTTCCTGAAGCAAAGTTCCCGTATCATTACCAAGTACTCATCCTGCCTCGAGGCATTCATTGTAAGTATGTATGACAATATTCTCCCATCTGCGCCGACCTAGATGGTCGCTAACTGGCGTATCGTGGGTTGTCATCATACCGACCGACTGCTTACTCCCTTACAAGCCGATCTCTCGGCCTTGGATAAATCTGGACCTGGCATTGGCATCGCCGAGATTCGAATCCTCAATTGTGCTGGTCTTCTATGTATTACTCTTGTGAAGCGCAATCTCCAGCATTCTCCCTGTTCCAAGGACTTCATCCAAGCGACCTCCTCATCTACGTTCATTTCGGCTACGGTGGGAACTCTACCATAGAGTACTTAGCGAGAGCAAAACGTTCAATGCCTCACCTCAACATCTGGCATTCTGGTCGGTGCTAAGCGTCTTCAAAAGCTTCCGGCCATACATATCTGAAGTTCGGTTTGCCTCGTGTTGATAAAGCAAGCTGGGCCTTGGCCCTTGTACACTCTCATACCTACAGAGTTGCCAGAGAACAAAGTCATCAATGCCACGATATGGACAATAAGATTTCTCATATCCTTCGTTTCGCGTCAACCCGGAGTATGAAGTAGCACAACGGCCCGCGGGCACGCCGAAACTTCCGTACTTCCGTCCCGAGTCCCGAGTCCTTGGCTTCGGTGTACAGGCTCTCCGATAGATATCGTATCGGAAATGAAATGTCCTGGGGTGCTGAATTTTGCCCATCAACGCTCATTCAATCGCTACAGTCAGCTTACAATATTCTAGTTCAAGGTTGTTTGAACCTACCAAATCGAGCACTTCAGTCATCAATTCAAAACAAAAAAGGGAAAAAGCTTCCCGTTCCCGTTCCCACTACCTCATGCAAAAAACTCTTTTTTTCCCTAAAATCCGAAGTTTGGTTGGGAGTCATACCGTACCTTCCAAGTTTTGTATAACGGCATCTGCTGACTTCATTTGCAGATATCATGAAAACAACGCTTCCATCAATATCAGAAAGTCTAGTCCTTTCTGTTCGAAAATTCCGGTTTTTTTCCCTGGATCCCCATTTACGTGACTCGACCCCATGGTTCAAAGAAAACTTTTCCACAAATCCTACCGCCCACGTCAAAAGATTTGACAAAAAACCCAAGTCCATAGATAGCACAGGCAAATCACCTGTCGTATTTTTGCTTTCAATTGCCCTGCGCCCTGAAGTCGGGATTCTCCCATACAATCTCACGATTTCTCACCTCTATTGGTATCTGTCACATTCATAACAAAACTCTCTCCCTCCCCCTCCCCGCTCCGTTACTGCCGGTCACTATTATTCATATTCAACGTCAATATCTCCTAATCATACGTCCCCCCTCCCCCGGGTGTAATTGTCAACATGGATCACTAGTTCCCATCGAATTTCTTTTTTTTATTATTGAATGTTGAGCTCCCTCGGCGTTAGAAACACCCCGGAGCCAGATTCCTACATACATATGTACATGTACAGAGTATTTGTGCTTTTTTCCGATGCCCGAGTAAATGTAAGTAAAATAATAATTGCGTTATAACGTTAGAGTTCGTGTTGATACAGGGTTCAGACAGACATTGAGTTGGGAATTTGATCCTCCCGGATATTCGTTAAAAAAAAAAAGGAAAAAGACGGACGTGGCGAGGGATGGGAGAGAACGGGAAAAGGAGACGGATATCACGGAGAGGAACAAACAGCGGGAGAGAGAGGTTGAAATATGTACAACGGAAGGGAAGGGAGGAGAAAACTGGGGGAGAAGCGGATGAGGATTTTTACTCGTTCCACAACTTTTTAAGGGTTAGGATAAATAATCGTACGAGCCTTTGACCCGGACGTCGCTTGAGCGGCCTAGAACGGCGGAAAAGCCCCAGACCTTCGAGGACGAGGAAATCTGGAGGCGCGACGAGTGGCACGCCGAGGATAATGAAAAAAGGTCAATAAATCAAATATAGGAAAAGAGTAAATGGAGAAATAAATATGCTGAGAATCCGGGAAGTTGCTAGTAATACATCTCGAGACGGGGTGAAGGAGGCCTCAGAATCCAGAAGAGCCGGTTGAGAGTAGTAGAATAAGGGAAGTGGAAGACCGGTCTTGCATCCGTTCGAACAGGTTAAGGAATGACACATTGTAAAGGGATCGATGAAAGAAAAATTTACCAAGATCGACTTCTAGCGTGAATCATGGTATTATAAAAAGGGTGTCAACGTCAGTAGGCCGATATTGGCCCTACGAGACCAAACGTTGAAGAAAAGTCTAAATCGAACGTCGACGTTTGGAAGAGGCCTTGTGATTTGGCCTTGAGCAGTGAGAGGTCGTCGTCGTCGGCGGACAAAGGCATCGTTAAAGAGCCGTACGTCTCCATGAAGTCAGTGTGAGACGCATCTTGTTCATGAACGAAAATGGAAAAGTCGTTCGAGTAAGCGTTTCCATCCTGGAAGTTGCAAACAGGTGAAGGCGATACGCATTGTTGAGAAATGGCGTCGCTCCGGTACATGCTCGATAGGTCTTCGTATGAGCTTGCAGCAGAGAGAGACGGAGAATGGGAAAGTTGCGGTGTGTGGTGACCGCTAAGCGGTGATAGATAAGGATCGTAGGTTTGATAATTCAAGGGCTCATGATAGCCAGGTGTTATAGGAACGGCCAGACTATCGCTGGACGGCAAGGGGGAGAGAGTGTGTGTCCAACTCTGGACCGAAGGTCCTGTTGCAATCGGAGGGAGAGATGTGTTAATCGAAAGGGAGGGCCGTATTCGATGTTCAGCTGTGTCTTCGCCAAACATCGCCAGTCCGTTGCAGAACGACTCCTCGGAGAATAAAGGATCGACGCTTTGATCTGCCGAAGGATTCGGCGCAGAGGTAGAATTCGCAGGCTGGTTGTAAGGGAACGTGTGGGGGTCCTGCGTAAAAACACAAATCAGAACGGTCATGAATAGTCAGTCAAGGGGGAAGGCATGCAGGCTGACTCGGGGGACAGCAAGAGGCGAAATTAAAACAAACGACGCACAAATGAGGGAGTTAGTTTCGAAGAGAACGGATAAGGATCACTGATAGCTATGGGAGGTGCGTGTGTACCATCTATTGGCGTTTCTGGGAAGTCGGGGGGAGGGTCCACTAAGGGAGGAGGACCAGGAGACACTGAACGCTGACTGCGTTGCGAGAGGCTACGTGAGCTTGATGATCTTGACAATGCCTTGGATGGTGATCGTGATCGGGAAGGCGGGGGGGAGGGGGAACTCGCTCTTGTCTCAACGACTTCATCCTCTATATCAGTATCGCCAACATAATGAGACTTGGATCGCCGGAATGAGTGTTCAGTGATGGGCGCTTCGAAGCGAGTGACGATTTCGGGAACATGATGTTTGTCGAACTCCTGGATAGCAGCGTTGAGATCCAG